ACACACACACACACACACACACACACACACACACACACACACACACACACACACACACACACACACACACACACACGCGGGGGCTTTACCTGCAGCACCTGCTGCTGCAGCCGGACCAGCTGTCTGCTTTGCTCCAAGTCAGACTCCAGCTGAGCCAGGAGCTTCTCCTGGTCGGTTCCAGCGCTGCTGGAGGACTGAGCTTTCCGCGTGCGTAGGGGGGATGGAGACACACACACACACATTCACCATCTTCAGAGAGACAACCCGTAGACTCATTGTCATGAGATTCATGAATCGTAACAGACATCAAAAGCTGACCACAGCTGCCAGTTCCATCTGTGCAAAGTTATTTTTTTAACAGATTTTCTCTACAAAAATAGCAAAAACCTGCACCTGTAATTAGCCACTCTAACCTGAGCTACCAGGACCGACCTGATCCTAGTGCCTACCTTGTGAGACCAGCTCCCCAAATCGCCTTTGCACCCTGTCCCATGCCTGTACCACTCCCCCGGTCACATGATCACCCAGTGCCTCCTCTAATTGGAGGAGCTTCTCACAGTCTGGTACTCCAACCACCACCAGAGAGTCTCGAAAGGTCTGTGAGACAAATCACAGACTCAGAGTATTCGTGTGAATCTAAGTTAGGCAAAACATGGACCCAAGCCAGCCTAATTTTAAAAGCGATGAATATAAACAGAATTAATCCATTACTTATGTTCTCATGGCAGGGTGCTTTAAGTAGCCGTACAGGCTAAGATACTTGGCTCCTGGAGATGACCCATCCTGGAGACGACCCAGTAGGCTGCAGGTTCGAGCCCCCCGGCACCAACCTGCTCCATGTGGGTCCGCAGCAGGCGTAGGAGGTCACACAGGTCACGCCTCAGGGTCAGAGCCTGCCTTAGCTCCACCTCCTGCCTCTCCAGCATGACCCGCAGCGCAACCTCCTGGTCAGTCCGCCTGCAAAAGTCGGGAGGAGAGGAGGAATTTTCATGGTGATGAATGGGACTTTAAAACCTACCTTGGATTAAAGTCCCCAATCAGTGATAAATTTAAAGCCCCCCTTCAGGAAATTTAAAGCAGGCTTCATTAAGAACTGGGGGTTCAGTATATAATGGGAGGGATGGAGAGACATTTGTATTCATCTCTTTGTGGGGACTCCATTTCTGTGGCCCTAACCCTAATCCCAACTTTAACCTTTAGGTTATGTCCGGGTAGGGGTTAAGTGTAATTAACCGAACAAAAGTCACGACTACTACGAGTCACAGATCTTTATAAAATTGAGGTTTATACTGTTAGGACTTTAGCTTGAGGGGACATTTCTTAAAAGTAACAGTGTTTACCAGGTTCTCACATCGTGGTAAATAATAAACACACATGCTTTCCGGAAGCAGTAGTAAAAATACCCATAAAAAACATCTGAAAACGGAACCTCTACCTACAGTTAGCATGTAAATCACTCCTGCAGCAGTGCCGTGGCGAGCCACCGATCGCCGTTGCCCTCATTTCCCCTACCTATCTGCGGCCCTCGCGTCCCTGGGGAGGGGGCTCTTTCCCAGCAGCCTGGGGGGGGCGTTCAGCATGTCCATCGCTGCAGAAGGCAGGACACAAGTCCTCAGATGTTTCACACAGGACTAAAATCACAATGCTGATTAAAATCCAAATAGCCCCAAATCTTCTACACTGAACCTTTAAACCTCATGAACATTTAAGACTTAACATCTGCTTCACCCCCCCCCCCCAACAACTCTGTTCTGGTTAAGCGGCTGGAAGATGGATGGATTGAACACAGGCAGCCCCAGGATATGACAGCCATTTTAAAGTCAAATCTGTAGGTAACAGTAATACATACTGTACAACATGCAGTACTGCACCTCAACTTAAACAGCTAAAGCCGTGCAATGTTTTCATTAGCGTCACAAATGTATTACAAACGATTGTATTTTACTCAGATTTATAGTAGGCTTTATGGCAGTCCGTTCGTAAGCACTAGTTGTCCGCAAGTCGGACATTCTTAACCGAGGGATTGCTGTAGTTCCCTCTTTCATCACAGCCGTTACCAGAAGACAGTCCGATTCCTGCACAATGTCTCCCCCTGCTGGAGAAATTTGAGAACAGCCAAAGCCTCACAGCGCTTGCGCTCCCTCGGCCTGTCGAGCAGCTGCGCCAGCCTCTCCTTCAGGCGGCCGTTCTGCCGCTCCTTCCGTTTCAGCTCCCAGGCCTGCTGGCTGCACCGGGACTGCAGATGTCTGTGCTGCAACATGGGGTGGTGGGGGTGGGGCAGGTCAGGACTGGGTCGAGACTGGGCCCGGGGGCTTTCGGATAGGGGAGCAGATTAATCACCGACCTGGAGGCGCAAAACCCAGAGGAGTCCTACAGCTCATTACGCCACTAATGACTGAGGGCAGGTAATGAAGCCAGGGAAGAAAATTAGGCGAATTAGGCCATTCAGTCCTGGAATATTTTCATTCTATTCAACTAAGCCAGTTGTCTCTGAATCAAACTAATTTGGGCTCCTTTTGGCAGATGATGGGCTATGATTGTTTTACTCTGTACAGTTCTGACTGAGGTCTGCTCCCTTAACGGAACCAAGACATGCATTTGGGGAAAGGCAGGCCTGCCCCCCCCAGAAAGTCACTTTGGGTGTAGCAAAGTCAGCAGGGCAACACCCCCCCCCTCTCCCTTACGTTCTCCTGCTCCAGCCTCAGTGCGTCATGCAGCCTGGCCACATCTTTCTGTCTCTCTGTCTGCAGCTCCTGCTGGGGAGGGGGGGGGGGGGGGGGGGAACAGTATCACCTACCACGGTACCATCCAGCTGGAACATGAGCTTGGCTCCGCGTGAGAAAGAACAGGCTAACAAACTGTATACATTTTAAAAGATCGTGCATGACAGCAGATGTATCCAATTCATTGTGATGTGTGTGTGTGTGTGTGTGTGTGTGTGTGTGTGTGTGTGTGTGTGTGTGTATATATATATATATATATATATATATATATTCATTCGTGACGGGAGGTGTGTACGCACCTTACGTACCGTGTATGACTACGCCACTGATACTCAGCCCTAACTGAAAATAACTGCAGGATATGCGGACACCTCCAGCACTATATTAGGGGATCCCAAAGTCCGGATGCGGACCAAACCGCACGGTAATCCGGACCCAGCCGATAATGCACTTTAGGAATCAATGCTTAATGTAAAAAGGTTTAACCTGGTTTGAAGTACATTGCAGAACCACCAAACTTCGCACGCACATGACCCCCCCATGACAGACAACCATATACGATCAGCAGGCGTTAAGAGCTCGGTGCGGCGGCCCGTCTCACCTGCTGCAGCGCGTCCGGCGCCCCCCGGCCCCGCTTCTTCTCCCCGGTCGCCCCTCTGCCCGTCCAGCTGGCGGCGCCGTTAGAGGTATGGCTGCGGGTCGGGCTGGATATCGGGGATCCTGTGACGGTGTCCTGGAGCCCTAAGCATGGGGACGGCGGGTAAGAGGACTAGCTGCATTTCATCCCGTCATAGTACGTCATTTCTCCTGTTATTAAACCCCGTTTGTTTTTAGTTTTTCACGTTACCTGAAGATAACTGGAGCCTCCAGCTGGCTCTCGGGAGGCGGGACATTGGAAGCCGAAAAGACCCGAACCGAAACCAGGACAAACAAACGAGCTGGGGGTTCGAAAGCTTACAGCGCTCGGCTTTTTAATGCTCTGGACACAATCGCTTTAGCTTTAATCACCCAGCAACTGATAACACTGATTATTTTAGAAAGGGCACAATGCACAAAACAGCTCGTGCATACCAGTGGTATCCTACTTATATTAACAGATATACTTCAGGAAAGTTATAATTTCCACGGTTTGTGGGCTCAATTTCCCTCCCCTCCAAGTGATGGTCGGAATCCCAGGTGTTTCTGTTAAATCAGTTAATTACCTTAAAACATGGGCGCATTAGGCTAGTAAATGGCATGTAATGCTACGGATGCCCTGTAGCTGGCAATATAGGCGTTTGCCAATATAGGGTGGTTAACTAGGCCTATATAAGGGGCGCGGCGGTGCTCGTTTTCAGAAGAGAATTACCCTGTAATGTTCCTAGTGTGCGCTGCTCAGGAAATGTAAAAGGTTTACTTAGCTCTCCGCTTATCGTTTTTATGTGTGATGTCACAATTAGATCGCTACAGACTCCAGTTTATGCATTGCTGTTTAAATAACTAATCGTGTTCTAATCCCCACGCCTTATAGGATCGGGACTGAATCTGGGATGAACCTTACTTCGCACTGCACCAGAGCTGCCAGTTCAATTTAGGCTTAGTAGGCTAAGCGCTTTTGGAATATGCATGCAGGTCAATCCAGGAGCTCTGATTACCCCTGTCTGAGAGAAGGTGCAAGTCCGATTTGCTGCTAAAAGACTTTGTGATGTCATTGCGTGATGGCGTCAAAGAGCAAGTTGGGGGAGACGTAAAGAGAATTTCCCCACGGGGATCAATAATGTATTATCATTATTAAGAACAACAACAACAATAATAATAATAATAATAATAATAATAATTATTATTATTATTATTATTACTAATAATAATAATAATAAAAATTATTAAACATAAATATTAAAAGTTGTGAGAAATTTTAAAAGTAGCCTAGCTAAATTTGTTGTTCGTTGCTTTTTGATAAAAAGACGCAAGGACAGTCTGAAAAGTTGCTAAATCTAGCAACAAAATAGCTAAGTTGGCAACACTGCAATAATCACTGGCATATTGACAGGGTATGATGTAGATGATTTGACTTTGCATTTCTGACTAGCTTTAGCAGGATATATTGCTCGTATTGGCAGACTTAAGGGCGAAGGCATAAAAGGCAGCTATACAAGACGCAGCCTATTATAAACAGGGCAAGCAACTATGTACTGTACTGATGACAAACTGCATTTGCCTGGCTAGGTAAACATTAACTGTGCTGGAGAATGCATTTTTTCAGTATTAGACTATTCTCTGGTGTGTAAGAAGGTATGTGAACTTGTTTTGGCCGAAAAGTACCCAGAAGTGGTTTTACAGGCCCATTTCCAACCCTGTTATTTGGCCTTAGAATGAAACAGGCCATAGTCCCCTTTTTAGCGGGCTCATTAATATGTTGATGAGCTTTGCACTGATTGGCTGGTTTAGAGGGAGGCACTGCGATGGCTCACACAGAACCAACATCTCTATAGTCATGCGCCAACGTTTGGGTGAATGTTGGACCGTATTTATGAAAGTGGTCTCATCAGTATGGAACACCAACGGGATCAAAACATTCTGAATCAACACGTTAAATTTGTACGTCTTAAGACGTCAAAAATGAAAATGTTAACATGGTTAACATGCACATTTGTACGTGTTAAACTGTTAACCCATTATTACGATGACTAAATACAAAATTTCACGTTTAAGAAAAAGCATGAACACTTGAATCTGGCCAATTCTATGTGAAATATAACCACGTATTTGTATGTATGCATTGGCATCATTATTCATAACAAATATACTGTGGTGTTATTACATTTACAAAAGCGACCTATTAATGTATTTGAACAAGATTACTGAAGCACTTAAGTCCTCTGAAATTTCAGGAGGTAGTTGCTGTATTTTCTGACGACAGTAGATGGCGCTTTGAGGCATACTGAGGCATTTTTGAACAGAGAGCATCATATAGATCAACTGGACTGAAAAGACCAACTAAATGGGAAAACAATCCCAAATCCCCCACGACCATGAATAGGACACGTGGGTACAGAAAAAGGATAGATGGACTTTACAGCACAAAGCAAATGTTTAATCAAACACTGCTAATTCTAACAGCACAGGAAATTACAATCCAAACCTTAGAGGAATAACCACATCCATCAAACAACAACAGCATTCAAAAAGTACAGCAAATTACAGAACAAACTTCACAACAAAAGACAAATTTCAGACAAGCGCCAATAACACAATTGAAATATTTTATGACAGTAACATCAGGAACCATAACTATTTAGAACTTTTTATGACCGTGGCAAAATCTAAAGGAAGTGATGTGTGTGTCTTACACATATAGTGTTTACATTTTGAGCAAACGGTGCTTGTTTTGTTTTGTGATGCCTCTGCACATTAATGGCACCTTCTCCTTTTCTCTGCCTTGCCGCTCCTTGCAGGGAAGGCGCCGGAGCCTCTTCAGCTTCTGCGTGCCGCGGCGCCCCCCCCCCCGCACGAGGGCTGTGGTGGCGGGAGCACGGCGGGAACCGTCCATGTGCGGTTTTATCAGTGCCCTTACCCAGCTCCTCCATGAAAAATCTCCACCAGTTGTGCCTCCATGTTGGATTTCCCTCCTTCTAGATGAGGACGGCATTGGAGGATGAGACATCGATCATGTTAAGAAAAACCCACCAGTGGTCAGTGTGGCATTTTCCACTGCCATGAGTGGGGGGGGGTCGTCTTGCCCAAAGTGTCCACTCCTCCTTTACTGTAATTGGAGTCTAAAATGGTTTGGAGCTTTTTGACCCCCTGGCCAGACAGTCCAGCCTCCATTTGTTCAGAAATGCAAACACCCTTCGGTCCTTTGTTGTCACTAAGGCCAGTGGCAGCTTGTTTCACCTGGTTGTACCTCCATGGTCATTTTCCTTTGTAGATGCTCCTGTCCTAGATCACATGACGTGAAAAAGTTACCCTGTGACCAGTGAGCCCATCTGATAGCGTTCCAGTGCCGCTCCTGCTGCCTGGCCAGTATAAATCTGCATTCTCCAGGCATTACTAGACTTGGCATCGCAGGGCACCCAAATTATTATCCTGTATTTTGCCGGGTTACTTACTGGGTTTATACTGCCGAAAATGACACCAGGCTGCAGGAAGTCAAAAAGAGGAACAGACATATTTTCAGTTTGATGCAGTATATAACCATAGCATCTCCAAAATACAGAATATTAAATTATTGGCAGATTATTTTCCTCTCGTTTGTAAATTTCTTATGTTCTTATGTTCAAAAAAAGGTTTGTGAACTTTTTGTCTAACTGCATAGAATAAGAATGATTCTTTTACATTTTTGGCAATGAAAAACACATACTAGTCACCTGTAAATGGGATTAGTCTCACGTGCACTGTCACATCAGGTCCTGGGTCGTAGAGGACAGGCAGTCTGTACCTGCTCCTCCCGAAGCTTGCCTCTGGACATGCAGTCTGTACAATTTGTTATGTCATGAACAACTTGTTAAAGTTAAAAGCAGAAACAACGGAGATACTGACTAAGAGCATAATAAATTTACAAACGAGAGGAGGCCATTCGGCCCATCAAGCTTGTTTGGGAAGAACTCAACTAATAGCTCAGAGTTCTTATCTAGCTCTGATTTAAAGGAACCCAGTGTTTTAGCCTGCACTACACTAACAGGAAGACTATTCCATACTTTAACTACACGCTGTGTAAAGAAGTGCTTTCTCAAATCCAATTTTAAAATGTTCTCCTGCTAATTTCCACCTATGGCCACAAGTTTTTGTATTTTAACTAATACTGAAGCAACTATTTAGTTGAACAGCATCCAGACCTGTTAGAATCTTACAGTATATACCTGGATCATGTCCCCCCTTAGTCTCCTTTGCTTGAGGCTGAAGAGATTCAGCTCAGGTAACCTCTCCTCATAAGACATTCCTCTAAGACCAGGAATCATTCCTGAACCCATTCTTAGGCAACAATGTCCTTTTTAAGATATGGTGACCAAACCTGCGCATAATATTCTAGGTGGGGTCTTACCAAGTAATTGTATAATCTTAGCATCACCTCCCTTGATTTAAACTCCACACACCTAGAGATGTAACCCAACATCCTATTGGCCTTTTTAATTGCGTCCCACACTGGCGAGAGTGGGACATGGAAGCATCAACATACACACTAAGATCTTTCTCATAATCAGCTACGTTTATTTCAGTGGAACCCATAAAATATCTGTACTTTATATTTCTGCTCCCTGCATGGATTACCTTACGTTTATCTACGTTAAATTTCATCTGCCAGGTATCAGCCCAGTCGCTAATTAAATCCAGATCCCATTGTAGCCTCTCCTCTACTAGATCAGTATCTGCTACACCACCCACCTTGATGTCGTCTGCAAATTTCACCAGTTTATTGTGTACATTCTTAATATAGTTAATTTAAATTAGGAACAATAATGGTCCTAAAACGGAACCCTGTGGTACCCCACTATGAACGCAGGTCCACTCTGACATACAGTAACTACTTGCTGCTTCCTGTCTGTTAACCAGTTTTCGATCCAAGCTGCTACAGTCCTTAAAACCCCTGTTGCTTTTGGCATAGGCAGGAGCTGTGTGTGTTACACAAACATGCGTGGTGCGTGCTGAGCCACACCCTTCCCCTGTTTGGGCCTTTCGAACCACATCTCTGTTGAATTGATTCCAGCCTACAGACTGGTAATAACTGATACTTTATTGATTCCTGTGGGGAAATTCTTTTTTCGCCACCCCCCCCTCTTTCTTTGTAGGCAAGAGTAAGCTGTCCGCAAAGGGCAGCCACCTGTTGCGGCACCCAGGGAGCTGGGGGTCAAGGGCCTTGCTCAAGGACCCGCAGACGTGCCGAAGCCGGGTTCGAACCAGCGACCCTCTGATCACAGGCCCAGCCCACTGAGCCACGTGCTGCCCCCAGACTGACTTGTTCCAAACGAGGCACAAACGAAATCACAGTGTGGCCAATGCGTTCCATCTCAGCACTTCAGGGCTGCTTTGAACAGACCAACTGGGACATGTTCAGAGAGGCAGCTCTTACTGCAAAGAGCAAGCCGAGCAGCTCATAAACATGTTTGTGATGAATTTGGCCTTCTGCTTTTTTACTTCATTATGGATTAGACTTTTGTTTAGCTAACCAAACGTAGGAAGTACAGAAGCCTCTTGAACTTGAGCATCTTGAACTTGTGGCATCATTTATTGAAGTTCCCCCAAAACAAAGATCAAATGGACTGGTCTTTGCCATTAAACTCCTGGGATGAAAATCAGTCCCACTCAATGCCTCGGCAACCCTGATACAGAGGCGCCGGTATCCTGCAGGTTTTCCATCCTGCCTGGTTTCTGAGGAACCACACCTGATAGGCAGAAAGTAGGTCATCAGGTAGGACAGAAAGCCTGCTGGTTACCGGCACTGCAGGATCAGGGCTGCCTACCCCTGCCCTATAACACTGTCAAACAAACTCAATGAGAGCTACTCTGCATCAACCATATTTTCCTTAGAACAAACTTTTTTGATATAAAAAATGGCAATTTGAAAATGATCCAATCCAACCACTAAGTATTAAATGGGATATTTGCATTAATACATTTCAATTAACATGGCATTGAGTATGATAGAATATGAAGCAAAAAAGGGATATTCTGCATGAAAACAATGATAAAGAAATCGTTTAATGTAAATATGAACTAAATTTCGCCCCAAGATGATGTTTCCCTACATAAACACATGAAGACATAATGTTACTGGCTTATGAAAATTTATAAGAAGCTGATATTCTGCATAACTCTTTAAGTCTTTATCTTTGTTGGGCCGCCCCAAATCTCAGCTTACCTTATTAAACCGCACTGCTGACTGCATATCCGAAATTGTGTTTTCCCTTCCCACATGCAGTGAGGAGAACTGTTTGGGTGGCCCAACAAAGCGTGGTCTATAATCTTTATTTTCTTTCCCCCAGTGAACATGTTTATTTAGCAATCGACAATAAAAGACTAAAACTAACCTCATTTATATATTTGCTGTGTTCTTACTGGATGAGATATAAAAGCATAGAGGCGAATAAGACAGCATGACATGGATGTTCTGGGGTCTGGAAGTCCGAGATTTCAGAGAAGGTCTGCTTCCCGCTCAGCGGCAGCTCCTGTCAGGGCTACAGACGACCCTGAGTGGTAGTGACGAAACTCGATGGCGAAGGAGCTTATGAAGCCCAGGAAGAACATGACCAGGACCCACTGAGCCCGGGCAGCGTGTATGTGCAGACGCTGAATCTTCAACACGGTATCTGGCAGCGGTTTCGTCAAGGTCTCGCTCTGTCAGAACACGCGGAACTTTCCGAGTTATGAGACCCCCTGAGAGTCGCCAGGAAGCACAGATACATAAGAACATAAGAACATAAGAAATTTACAAACGAGAGGAGGCCATTCGGCCCATCAAGCTCGTTTGGGGAGAACTTAGCTAATAGCTCAGAGTTGTTAAAATCTTATCTAGCTCTGATTTAAAGGAACCCATGGTTTTAGCTTCCACTACAATAGCAGGAAGACTATTCCATACTCTGACTACACGCTGTGTAAAGAAGTGCTTCCTCAAATTTGTTTTAAAATGTTCTCCCGCTAATTTCCACTTATGGCCACGAGTTCTAGTATTTAGACTAATATTGAAATAGTCATTTGGCTGAACGGCATCCAGACCCGTTAGAATCTTATAGACCTGAATCATATCCCCCCTTAGTCTCCTTTGCTCAAGGCTGAACAGATTCAGTTCCGCTAACCTCTCCTCATAAGACATTCCTCTAAGACCAGGAATCATTCCTGAACCCATTCTTAGGCAACAATGTCCTTCTTGAGGTATGGTGACCAAACCTGCACACAGTATTCTAGGTGGGGTCTTACCAAGGAATTATATAAGTGTAACATCACCTCCCTTGACTTAAACTCCACACATCTAGAGATATAACCCAACATTCTGTTCGCCTTTTTTATTGCTTCCCCACATTGGCGAGAGTGGGACATGGAAGCATCAACATACATACCGAGATCTTTCTCGTAATCAGCTACCTTTATTTCAGTGGAACCCATAAAATATCTGTACTGTATATTTCTGCTCCCTGCATGGATTACCTTACATTTATCTGTGTTAAATTTCATCTGCCAAGTATCAGCCCATTCGCTAATTAAATCCAGATCCCGTTGGAGCCTCTCTGCTGCTAGATTAGTATCTGCTACCCCGCCCACCTTAGTGTCGTCTGCAAATTTAACCAGTTTACTGTATGTATTCGTGTCAATATCATTAATGTAAATTAGGAACAATAGTGGTCCTAAAATTGAACCCTGCGGTACCCCACTATAAACGGAGGCCCACTGTGACATAGTGCCTCTAATAACTACTCGCTGCTTCCTATCAGTTAGCCAGTTGACACCATATCATTTTTTCTGCTCCGATCCCGATAACAATATTAAAATTTTGAGTATCTGCCATTACTGATACCAATCCGATATTTCCCCCCTTTATCTGTTTCTACTAAGCATTAAATGAGATATTTGTATCCATACATTTCCAGTAGCTGTAAACTGCATTCTGTGCTGTAGCAGCATTGTTTGAGTTTGCTAAGAATAGGGAAATATAATGGTCATGTTTCTCAAACAAAAGCTCTGTCACTACAGTACAGGGAGAAATTCACGGCCAACCTGGTTTACACGAGTCTGCTTCTTTGTTTTATTCAGTAACAACTTTCACAGAATGAACTGAAATGTTTCTTAAAGGGAAAAGTGTGCAATCTGTTGCCAAATTAAATATAATAAAGAAACCAATTGTAAAACAGTGCACATGAGTCTCCAGCGCAAAATAGACAACTTAAAACTTTCAAGTAGCAATTAATCAAACTTTATAAAGAATACAAGTCTGAAGTCATCCACTTCGTATTAAATTTACTTTGTTACTTAAGAAAAATCAGCCCCAGCCTTACATACATGCACTGCAGTTTCATTTTTTCTTCTTTCTGTGTCTAGTACAGTATCTGTATTTCCACACAGCCCACATGACGACTCACACACACGTTGCTGACGTTGCTGAAGTCATCGCGTGTCCCCGCTTGTGGCATGACACAATAAGCCTACAAGGATTTTTGGGATTTTTCGGATCGGTTTCTCCCCTCCACCCCACTCCCCCAGTACCTGATCCAGCATTTTTTGCTGGTATTGGCCCAGTACAGATAGTGGGTATCAGATGGGTGCCATCTCCACCAGGAAGGATACACAGCAGCATGCAGAAGCTAATGGCCCCAGAGAGCAGGAACCGGGCGATCCCGACCCTCCAGCCCTCATTCCTGAAGTTGACCGTCAGGGTCAGGACCGACTGGAGCCAGCAGTACATTATCCCCAGGCAGAAGGTCGTCAAAGTGCCCACATTATGCACCCAGGCATTACTGGAAAGCTGCAGCGATTACAGGCATTACTGGAAAGCTGCAGCGATTACAGGCATTACTGGAAAGCTGCAGCGATTACAGCCATTACTGGAAAGTTGC